TGACACAGCGATCAATACATAACACACGACACAGGGGCTCTCCGAATTGTACGTCTAGGTAGGTGTGTGAGTATGTGTGCGTGCGAGAGTCTGCGCGCGCGTGTCTGTGTATGTGTGTGTGTGTGGGGGGGGGGGGGGGCGTGAATGTGTGTGTGAGTGTGTGTGTGTGTGTGTGTGTGTACTTGTGTGAAACTCCTCGAATTTGATGAATTTGAAGAAAAAAAAATTGTGTTCAGATATTAATTCGCATGATATTATTAACTGGAAGTTCAAATGCCCCTTTTAAGTAGTCATAATTTCCAAAACTGCAAGTCTCGACCGGTTGAGACAAACGTAGTATAAATCATCCAACCAGACTTCGTTAATCTTTCTGTTGCATAATCTTGGTGTCCTGTATTCCTCGCGCTCTTCTGTCCACCTGTCAACCTTCTGTTCCTCTGGTCTACTTCCTCAGCTGTTCCAGGGGTGTTCGGCGTGGTCGTTTACTGTCTCCTTCCGGGGGACACTTTATCAGTCCCTTGAGCGTTTTTCTGGTGTAATAAGTGTATTTTATTTCACTTTGTTATTCTCCTTGTGAAATGTTCTTAATCACTGTCTTTGTCTTTTCTTTTTTCTTACTTCACAAGAAACAATTCAATGGCAAGTTTATTTGTGCTATTTTACTTTCTACTAAAGAATAAAATGAGGTAATTCATTTTTGTTGCTGCTTTTCGTGCTGTTCATTTTCGTTTTCGTATTTATTCTTTATCAGCTGCTTAATTGACGCGATATTTGGCCGTTGCCCCACGGCGCCTCAACTTGTTTTTCACGTTGGCTCCGCCTCTCTCTCTCTCCTCTCTCTCTCTACTCTCTTCTCTCTCTCTTCCTACTCTCTCTCTCTCTCTCTCTCTCTCTCCTCTCTCTCTCTCTCCCTCTCTCTCTCTACTCTTTTCGATCTCTCTTACTCTTCTCTATCTCTCTCTCTTATATCTCCTCTCTCTCTCCTTCTCTCTTTCTCTTCTTCTCTCTTTCCTCTCTTCTTCTCTCTCTCTCTCTCTCTCTCTTCTCTCTCTCTCTTCTCTCTCTCTCCTCTCTCTCTCTCTCTCATCCTCTCTCTCTCACTCTCATCTCTCTCTCTCTCTCTCTCTCTCTCTCTCTCTCTCTCTCTCTCTCTCTCTCTCTCTCTCTCTCTCTCTCTCTCTCTCTCTCTCTCTCTCTCTCTCTCTCTCTCTCTCTCTCTCTCTCTCTCTCTCTCTTGAGCTAGAAAAAAAATCTTGCTACATGCACGCCGCTCTGTTTCCTCCTACCAATTTCCTACTCTATTCGAGTGCATTTATGCGAATTAAAATCCCGAAATTTCCGTCGCCATCACTCCAGTTCCTTCGTAGCTGTCATTGAAATTTCTTACATAAAACTTGACGTTGGCGTTAATCAAACATCTCCTCGGTAACGACAGTGAGGCTTTTTTCAAATTCTGATTCTAGAATGTAAAAAGTGGTAACAAACGCACGTAGCGGTTTTCTTTTCATGTTATATTTTTTTCTGTAATCTTGTCATCTAATAAAATAACAAAATAAAACACAGATATAATTTACAAAGACCATGCAGCATGCTAATATCTCCCTCCCCTGGAGGTGGGTCATTTTCATTTCTTTCTTTGTTAACTTTGGCCTCGCCCGCACAGTAAACCACCTCCACTTCTTCAAAAGGTTTCGTCTTAGAACTCGCAACCCCAACCTGCTCTTCAAAACACACCTGAACCACGCGTGTATGACTTTCACCACGCAGTCCTTCTACTGCAAGCACCGGGACCTTGTTGTGATACAGATGAAGTCCATGAATATGAAATGTGATGTAAACAGAATTAGCCCAATGAGCGAAACGTGAGTCCTGGGAACAATGCCTCGCAGCAACAATCAGCCCACCTCGTCTCGCCGGGCCAGGGGACCCTTTTCCTTACGAGGGGAGTCGAGAAGGCTCATAGTCCCGTGAGACAACAGTGGCACCGCAGCTCGTACCTGAGAGTGGTTTGTTCTTAGCCCGAAGGTTTAGCTCCCCCCCCCTCCCATCCCTCCCTTTCTCCCTTGCCCCCTTTCTCCGATCCCCACGGAGGAGGGGCCTCGACCTCTCTTCCCATCCAGACCACAGCCGGACCGGGACCTTTTCCTCTTAAGCAGTCACTTAACATATTCTTTTCTGGTCCTTTTGCAACATATCGGAACATTCCACGCGCAGAAGGGGAGATACAAATCTGCTAGATAAATAAACAGGAAGAAGCAGGCGTACAAAAACAAGGAGAGAAAAAAGAGGTAAGTGGAGAACGGACGAGAGAGAGAGAGGGGGGGGGGGGTAGACTTTAAGATAGGAGTCACAAAAATGAATTCCTTTAGTCTGTAAAAAAATGATTGTAACAAGTCTAATAATTATAACCAAATTTGATGCAATGTGTGTGTTTATATATATATATATATATATATATATATATATATATATATATATATATATATATATATATATACAC